CGCTATCATTGCCCACCACAAAGTCCATCCCATCGCTGGCCGCGATCGCCAGCCTCTCCCAATCGGAATCGTTCGACGTCGTGCTCGAGTTACGCGCACATCGTCTTACAACTGATCACCGCACAATAAACTATGGTCCTTTGACGCACTCGCTTCGTGCACATTTTCTTCCGCAACACCGAGCTTTGCGCCGCCTGTAATCAGAGAAAAAAATGTTACGATAATTATGCTGTCATAAAACGAGGCGGCACACGTTTTTAAGCGAAGATCGCAAGGAAAGGTGCACGTGTAAGCACGCTTGCATTTCCCGTAAATTGCATTGCAGCGTCCTCTCACCTAGTTCGTCGCACTTCATGCGGCATGGCGTTACTCTGAATTATATATTTAACTATTAGGGGTCCAAGGGAAAAGCTAGAATCAAGCTAGAATCGCTTTCGCAGGCCGTTCCCTGATAAATAATTAATTCTCACCGGTGACGCTTCACCGATTCGCAAATTGTAAGTCAGAATGGCACGCGAATTGTTTCTAAACTTTGAAGTATTTGCGCATCATTGTCTCATATAATATTAACGATGGCTTTATTACATTTCGTTTTGTACAAATTGGATGAAACGTGCCGCAGGAAAACAACAATTTTATTTAATGAATTATTCATTGCGTATCAGTTGAGAAATGTTTACGTAGCACTTGCGTTTATTAAGTATCGTATTTATGGCAGCTTTGGTTTAGTTGGCGAATTACGTAACCGTGGCCTTGACACCGGCTGAGATCTTATCGATCACGGAATGCTGATGCGGCAGGAGGCCGGAAGTCGCCGCAGAACAAATGCTCACTCGCTATTTTTATAACACCAATCGAATAATACATTCGAATGGTTAACTAACCATATCAGCTATTCGTGTGTTCACAAAATGGAACTGTTTTTTGCTTATGTATGATATGTACACAAAACTCTTTCTTAATTTTATACAAACAGATATAACCTAACCTACAAACATTTATGTTTATCGGCTGAAAGGAGAGAATATTGAGGATCACACAAACATAAATAACAACGATATCACTACGAATGTCGGTTGCAGTTGTAGCGCGACTCAGAAACTTGCTAAGCAATATAATCTCGGAAGATGCGGGAATACCAATACTAATATAATATTATCTTTGAAATAGAAATAGAAGTTCTGTTGTTATTTGAGTTTGGGAAACTTATTACGATGAGTAGGTTCTAGAATGTTTGGAATTGTGCTGAAATAAAAATTAAACCGAAATGTATTACACTTATTATGTATGCAATTACAATTGTTGTCATTACATAATAAAACGTGTGGAAAAGGAATTCACTTTTGCGATGTTTTACATCGACTGAATGTAACTTATAGCCTTTTGTGACCCAGTCTAGATTTGGAATAGATATAGTAAATATAGTTCCACAACAAAGCTAAACTTAAATTGTATCTGGGATCGCTTCGGAATTGATTTCCTCTCT